CTTAACTGATTGGATGTCAACGGCAAGAGGCCCTAAGACACTTTTTCCCCTTTACTTCATCATGTGCTGATGGCTTTGGTTATACATTATACGGATTTTAGTATTTGTAGTACATGAACATTCCCTTAAATTACTAAACTGTAGTAACTAGATTTCCAGGATTCTAAGGTGCTACAGAAGTTTTGTTCTTAGGAATAAAACTAGAGTAAGGGCTTTCTGGGTAAATGTAGAGTCAGGGCAATTCAGCTGTAAATGAAATCTAATTGTAAAGGACTTACGATCAGCTTATGGTTCTCACTCCCACAGGGTTTCTCATCCCATAGCACAAAAAGACATAGTGGAGTAAAAGAAGTACTTACTGGCATTTTAGATGGATAGAGATGAAGGAGTAGCCTTGGTATTTCAAACTGATGCTCGCTCCCTTCTGTGTACCAGATGTTCCAATATGTGTAGGAGAAGCAGTAAAATGAAAACTAGTAGACAGCTGTCCCACTTTTACCTAAATTTTTATAAGGACCAGTAAGAGAAGACTAGCACTGACAAGAGATGTTCTGTTTGCTGAGGACACTGGGTTGCAGATCCAAGAATGGGCAGATCTGAATTCCCAGCTTTTACAAACACATCATAACATAAAACAAGAGAGAGATGTTTGAGAATTTATTCAATGCTAAATAAGGTAAGGAGTGGCAAGTCTAAAATACATACCTTCGATATCCACTCTTATGCCTCTTCTGACAAGAAGCAGCATGTATACCACAAACACAATTTTCTCTCACTTATCCAACTCACCATTTCCTGGCACCTAAAACAAGGTTTTCTCTATAACCCACTCCTTTCACAGTAGCCATACCTACCTTTTGAAACTCAGACCCTGGAGGTGATTGCCTACTGGCCACAAGGGCGCTCATCATTTCCACGGACTCTCTGGCTTTTAATCCTGCCTCCCTGGATTAGGGATGTCTGCTGTATTCTTTCCTCTGGAAATCTGAAGACTTCTGGAATTGTTCCTGGAAAGAAAGATAGGCTGGTGAGAATCAGTAATGTGACACAATCATTCCGAAGTAGGTAGGCTGCAGCAAGGCTGGATGAACTCTAGCAGGGACGGAATAACAGAGAAGATGAAAGAAAATACCAGCTCAGTATGGCATACTGTCTTTGCTTTCTCTACATCCTCTAACTTTTGTTCTACTGTTACATAACACTCCATTTTTGTCTTGCTTGTTCACTTCCTTTAAACATACTAATTTCCTTCATTTTCTATATAAAAAAAAATTTCTTGCCTGCCCTGCACATGAAAGGAATTAAAACATGTAAAACTTTCAATCATCATAGCTTGGCAGACATTATTTTCATCATTTTGCATGCAGAAAAGTTTTGATAATTTTTTTTGTATACTTGCATTAAAGCTCTGATTTATAGAATGCTCTAGTGCTGTTACAGCGTTAACGGGTATGTATAACAACCTCAACAGAGACAAAGGCAAGAGTAGGGGAAGCAGGAAGAGAAGAAAAGTGGAGAGACTCTTGAAAGTGTTGTCTGGCATCTATGACAAATTTAGGAAGTTTAGCAAGGAAAATAGCAAGAGCAGTAGTGACAGGAAGTGAGTAGGAGAAACACAACTTTTTTTTGCTACAAAAGGAAAACACCTGACCCCATTTCCACAGCACCAGATGAAACTTCTAATGTAAATACAGCATGTTTGTGTGTGTGCACATGTACATATTTTATAAAGTGTTAATATTCTGTTTAAAATATACTTTCATGATCAAAATGTTGAAATAAAACAAAAAACAAAAAGTGGAAGCATCTCTTTTCCCTACACAACTTTAATTTCCTTCTAGATATTGACAGGATTTAGAATTTGACTAACTTTATCATGGTTATAAAGTATGGCTAGAACAGGGAACATTTGAAAATTAGAACTCCAGAAATGTTTTTTGCAAATTTAAAGGCCAGTTTCCCCTTCCTATCCTGTTTGTGTTCTAGAAACTGTAGCCGCAATGTTCTCCCTCTCCTGACCTGGCCCCACTAGTTTAGAAGGCTGTTGAAATGGGTAAAACCACCTTCCCAGACTTTACATGCACTCACCCCTATAGATAGAGCTTTGTTGTGAATATCCCCCAAACCAGCCACGGAACAGTTAGCCCTTGGAGTGCTAAGCACTCCAAAATACAATTTGTATTCTTAAGTTCTTAAACTTAAAAAGTTCTCACCCACTTACAACTTGCTAAACATTATCAACCACTTGACAAAAACAGCCATTATTGCCACACTGATTTAAAAAAACTTAAGCACCTTCTGTGTGCTAGGCAACTGTTGTGCACTATAAAAACAAATGAAAAAAGTAAGCAGACAGACTTCCTGCTTTAGAGAATTTAAGATATACTTGACACATACTATTCAAAGAAATACATAAATACAAAATCACAACCGTGTTAAGAGCTATAATAAATACTTATGACTGCTTTCTTAAGAATGTATAGGTGGAGGGCAAATCTGGAGAACAGCAATTATTTTAAGATTTTCATGATAGAATCAACTGACCAATGAATACTGGTACCATATACATCACTGAACTAAAAATTACATAAACATTGTAAAAATTAGATTCTAAATAAGAAATGTGCTCACAATACCAAACTATTTCCATTTGTCAGTGTTCGCACATGAACTGTTATCAGTGAAGACTTAAGCCTAGGTTCTGTAACTTGAGCTTGGTAAGGTTTACTAAAGTGAGGATACCTAAGATTTAAGAACATTTTAACTACTTACTTTTATTATAGCTATTTGCTCTTTGCCCCCTTCCCCACTCAAAAAAAAAAAAAAAAAAAGCAGTTGGTGTTCAAGTTAGACACCGGTGTTCTGTGTATCCACCCTTTAATCCACTCCCAATTCTCCCTTAGGCCCTCATCTTAGAAATGACAGGCAATTTGCAGCAAGTTCTGATACCAAAACATTCTTGTAACTTTTTTTCCCCCCAAGATTAAGTGGCATGGGGAAAAGTGAAAATATTTTTTGTTGTCTTACCCAGAAGTTAGCAGAAATATTAAGTATAATATGTGTTGTGAATGGAAGATGGCTTTCTGCACAAACCTAAGGGGCCATTTGAGGAAATTATTTTCAAAATGTAGGTAAAATTAGGTGTTTTTTTTTTTCCCTGCAATTTACACACATGATCATTTATTCAAACAGTTGAGGGCAGCCAATAAAAACTATGTATACCATGTTCGTGGAAATCTATAAAAGTTATAGAACATTATAGGTCACATATGAAGGTTAGAGCCCATTTCTCACATGTGCCCATCTTCTAAGTCACATTCAATACTGTGATGGCAATAAATAAATATGCCTTACCTCCGTGACTATGTTAGAGTTCTACCCTTCCTTTCACAGGGATTTTCTGAATAGTCTCAAAAGCCAGGACCCTACTGATCATTCTAGCCCAGTCTATAGATACCTAAAAGCTCTCCCTTTGCTGGCTCAAGGTAGATAGGAGGAATGTCATTCCTTTAACTCTTAGAAACGAGTATTATTATAGACCACCAACCAATCAATTAGCCAACCCACCTAGATTGGTAGACACCAGAGAGCACAACAGGAGTTGCTATCAAGGCTTAGGCTCAAAGTACAGCAGCCCCAGTTACAATTAATTTAGTCCTTCCTAGATTCTACCTTTCTTCCTGTCCCTCTCAAGTGGCCTTTTAACCTGGAGAAGATTCTGAAGGAAAAAAAGTGAGGTTAGGATTGTCAAGTCTAATTAACCTTCACCCACTCTTTCTCCAAGAAAGCCGATCCGTTTCCAAAGAGAAATAGAAGTTACCAAGTGAACATGCCTGAAAGCTAGTACAAATTAATATTTTAAATGATCATATTCCTTAGATTCCTGCAAATGACCTCCTAGAGAACAGGGAGGATCCAATTCTCTGGGTAAACAAGTCCACCCAGATTTAAGTTCCTCTATTGGGTACCTTTGGGTCAGTCTATGGTTTCCAAGCCAGAAAAGGACACTGCATAAATAAAACTCTCAAGCTCAGGAAGCTTGAAAATTTATAAAATTCCAAGTTTTTAGAACTGCTTCAACTAAGTTTAGTTAAAACTCATTTTAGATGAAGTTATAATTATAATAGTTATGAATCAAGGGAATCTCCTCTGGGGGAAATATGCTAAGTTTCTACTTTAAGTCTAAAAATCAGGCCTATGAAAAATTACTTAGAATATTGGATTACTTAAAAAATAATAATATTGGATTTCTGATTTGGTGCTAAGGTAAGAATAATTAACTTTGTTTAAGGAAACAATCCAAAAACAAGCCAGCAGATACAAAACAGCCCTCTGAAAGTAATTTGTTCAAAATCAAAGCAAGGTAAATGGTTGCAGCATAGTTGGGGATCTTAGTTATTCCATATCTGTGCATTCTCCACATGAGGAGCTACGACCTGGGTGACTTCAGCGTTGTCCTTAACCAAAATTCTAGAAATAGATCGCCAAACAACCTAAGGATTCTGCAGCTTTGTACACAGGAAATAGGAGGCAAAGAAAAAATTAATAATTCTGCATTATCTGTTTAGAGTGGGTGAGAGAACAGCAATCTGAAGCCTCTGCTGAGCCAAGTGACAAACTGCTAACGGCAAGGTCATGGGAGCTGGGACAGATCCGACAAACTAAAGACTGAGCTCCTGTTAGCAAGAAACACACTGAGAGGAGCAGAGTTCCCAGAAAAGCCCACGGAGAGGCAACACAAGCTTTCACAGCAGGAAGATGCCTACCACCCTCATTTTCTCCAGGCAGTACTGGGCACAGACTATGTAGCTTTCTAGCACTAAAGAAGCAGCTCTGACAAGTGGATGAAGAATGAATAAGGACACACAACATGACAATACGATTTCACTGTTGTAGTTTCTTGGTAGTTAAAAATGTGAATACTTTCAGAACAAAAATCCAGAAACATGAGATTAAAGTATTTATTCCAAATAATTAACACATTAAAAATAAAGTTAAACTTTTCCAAGTCAACTCATAAATTCTTTAATCTTTTTAACAAAATGTACAACCCAAAACGTCACACTATGGTAGAAACTACCTGGGAAAAGGAGAGGTAGAAGGAGGGATACACATGGGTTTGTAGAACAAATAATGAGTACAATTCCACAACAATTTTCAGATAGTCTATCGCTTTGGAACAGAAATAGCTGCTAAATAATTTAATACAGAGTGTCACCAGACCACAATACAATGGACAAAGGCCATTTCAAAAATAAAAGTGACCAAAAAAGCAGATCTGCTCCTGGCATTGGGCTGTGAATAAGCCTTACCGATTGCTGTCTTCCAAAGTGAGCCTGCCAGATTCTCTTCCCTGTTTACTGAGGTCATTTCCCAACGGGTTTGTGAGTTAGCAGGAGCATCTCAGGTAACAGAGTAGGAGAGTGCAGGAGTTGACATGACAATGAAGGAAGTAAACAGTAAACAAACCATGTTAAGGCAGGCTTATCCAAATGGAAGCCTTAGAGATGAATAATTCTTTCTTCATCAGAAGCTTTCCATTTTGGCAAACTTTCTGGTGTTTGTCCCAGAGATCCATAAGCTGCCCAGAAAATTGGGTAAGAATACAACACAGCAATTGGAAAAGTCATCTCTCTTTCTCCCTCCTCCCCCACATTCCAGAAATGGCAGCATCATAGCCAAAATACAATCAAAGCACACTATGGTGAGACAGATAGACATCAGATTTTAATGACAAAGTAGGAGAAATAAATTGACCAAAAAAGCAAACAAAAATAATTATTTTTACAAATATGTATAGAAGTTATGATTAATTTGTCTTGGATTTTAAGAGGGCAAGGAGGTACATTTTTTTTTAGCTTCCATGAACATCTACTTAAGATGTTGACTTCATTTCTTGGTGTAGGTTTTAGATGAGATTGCCAACAAATCCTGGGTCATCTGAGAATCTGATTTATATACAAGTAGCTCTGGGTGTATATTCTTAGTCACAAGTACTGGATTTTGTATAGTCCTGAATGACATCAACTGAACCTTGTTGTTCAGGCATTTCCAGAGGGATCTCATTGGCTCCAATGATCTGCTCCCTTGGAGGTGACCTTGAAGCTGGAATTGTTCCCAAATTCAAAGAGTTGTCACCGTTTTCATCTATTTGAGAAACTGATGCCTCTGCGATGGACGTATTCAGAATTTCAGGCTGCAGTGGTCCCATATCCAGAGAGCTACAATTAGGAAGGTCACCTGATTCAGACAGGGGAGAACATACTTTGTCTTTTTGAATTCCTGATGTCCGTGTGACAAAGTCAACAAGGTCTGGAAGGCAAGGAGATGGCCCAAGGCCTGCAGGATTAACTGCTTCTGCTTCTAATCTGAGTGACTCCTGTTTTTCTAATTGGGAAGTTTCTTCTACTTCTTCAGGCATCATTCCACCTGCTAATAGGTCAAGGGCCTGGTGGGTTCCCTCTAGACTTCCGAAGCCTCGGTCAACATTTTCCACAGGAAATCCAGTTTTCATAATGTTAGAAGTAATCCTCCCACTTTTAGGATTAGATGAATTTTGTACACCCTTTGTCTCAAAATTAAGCACCAGGGATTTGGGAGACTCTCGTGGAAACCCAGAAAAAGATGGAATCGGTTTAAAGTCGGTGGAAGTAGAGGATTTACAACCTACAGATGATACAGAATTTTCTTCACACATTTTCTGAGATGAGGCATTTGGGGATCTACAAGCTGGATCTATCTCACTATCACAAAAATCAGCACATATATCCCCCAGGCTTCCCAGGGCGGCAATCTCCTCTACCTTTAAGTCCGCACCTCTGAAATCATCTAAGGCTTTGTTTTCTATTGTCACCGTTAATTCTGGACGGACATCTCGCAGCTCCACAGCTTCCATTTCTGGTTTTTCAGGACCTACCCAGCTCTCTGTTCTCTTTTTGCTCTCATTCCAAACAGCCAGGTCATAGGTCATTTTACCACGAAAGCCTTTTGACCTTTTTTTTCTCTTGAGTTTGAGGTTTCTGTACTTAGAGGTTCTGGAAGCTGATTCTGGAGTTGAATTTTCTAGCCACTCCTTGTTACCAGCTGAAAATCCTTGCTCCTGTGCACTACCTGTTAAACATATATCTGATCTGGCTGAGGATGGAAGTAGTATTTCTGGAGCAGAAATTTTCACAGTTAGATCTTGTGGGCTTTGGGTTGAAGATCTAGCTTCTGATGGAAAAGAGTCTATTTTTTTCTTTGTGGATGAGAGAGCCTGTGCACCTAATTCAATCACTGCTTTACCTGGAGTTTCACTCCCTGTCATGAATTTCTTGGACGGCTCTGCTTCTCCTTTCCATGTGTATGGCTTTCCATAGATCACATTAGAATCTTCCAAGCTGTGGGAGTCAAGATCGTGATCTCCTCTCACTTCAGTTGCTACTCTTCCTTTTAGTTCATTATTTGTCCCCAACTTACTTTCTCCACATTCTTCAGCATGACAGTCCTGGCTTTCCTTATTCTGGTTACCAGATTCTATGAGGTGAATTTCTACAAACTTCTGAGGGTCCTTGGTATGACACTGTGTATCTGACTGTTGAGCAGCTGTTTCTACACCAGGTGGCCCTGGATCTCCTTGGTCAAGCTCAAGTTTTACCTCTGGAGATACATCCTTTTTAGTATCAATCTGGAAGGAGCTACAAGTCCACTTTGCTGAAGTGTCTGGCTTTGGGGTAATAGTTTCACAAGGTCTGCTTTGGCACAACCTTGTCAAAGGTTGCAAAAAGCCATAGCTACTGCCTCTGGTTTTTGGGTCTCCAGGCTCTACAGGTGACCATTTCCCTAGGGACACCAGAGTTTTTGCAATGGGCTTTTCAGTGCTGCTGACTACAGGAGCAATGGCTGAACCCTTATGTTGAGGTAACTCTTCTTGGGATGTAGAAGTGGAAGAAGTGTCTGAACTTTCAGTTCTAGAAAAGCTGCTATTTTCCCCATTGGTCAATGGACCACCACTCAGCTTAGGCTCAGGTGCCCCCTTCCCACCACTACTGTAGAATATGCCATATAAGTCTTTGGCATTGGCTGTGGCTAAGCATGAATTTCGCTTTTCCAATTTTTTGGCTTGTTCACTAAACACACTTGAAAGGGGTGGTGGAGGACGCACTAACACAGAGAATAGGGTCTGATCCCAGTCACTCTCACTCACCCCAGGAGCTGTCTCATCAGAAGGAATGGCAGCTGGCTGTGCTGAGGCCATGATGGCTACAGGCAACACTGGGTTCAAAATGTTAGGGCCCAGGAAGCCAGGACTGACAGTCTGAGATACAACTAGGTTCGATTTTACTGAAGCCAAGACAGTATTTGCTTGAGTCGGAGCAGCTGGATGAGGTACAACTGGCGGGGGTGGTGGCGGGGGTGGTGGTGGTGGTGGTGGTGGTGGAGGAGGAGGTGGTAGCATTTGCTCAGGTACATGGCATGATTCATTCTTTTCAGCCACCATTTTTCCTTCTGGTGATCCTTTTAGAATCACCTCTTCCCCTCCAAATGCTTTGGAGATGATATCTGGTGGCAACACGAGATCAGCTGAAGATTCTTTAACAACTGGCAGGGGCTTGACAGTAGTTCCAGAGGACTTGATGGAGAGAAATGTGTTAAGAGGTGCAGGTTTGCTCACTGTGATTGAACTGGACTTGCGAAGTACTGTGGATGGGATAGGCAGGTTTGGTCGGATCTTAGTTTGTGCTGAAGTTGTCACCACAGGCATCCAAGGACTGCTATGTGCAACAACAGTTTTCCCAGAGAGTTTGATTTTGATGGGCTTTGCCTTTCCAGTTTCAGCTTTACCATCTTCTTTGTCTTTATTACTTTCCACTATCTCTTCTCTAGGGACATTTGGGAGTACCACTGAAATTTTTTCTTCCTCTTTTTCTGTCTTCTTCCAACTAAATTTCCCAAATGAAGATGATGTTGGTGACTCTTTCTTTATCTCTTCTTTTAGCTGGAGTTTCATGCTAGTGTTCTTCTTCTTCTCAGTTTTTTCAGGAGAGCTGCCATCCTCAGAGAGTTGGTCCTCCAATTCTTCAGAATCCTTGTCATCCTTTGTTTCTTTCACAACTTTTGCCTTTTTCTCTTTCTTCTCTTCCTTTGATTTCTCACTAAGTTTACGCTTTAGTTCATTCTGTCGTCGTCTTTCTGTCTCTAGAACTACAGCCAAGCCAGCTTGGCGGTCCAGATTCCGTCGTTCCTCATACAATGGGTTTTCATCCACATATTTCTGGGAAGAGAAAAGATAAAGGCTTAACAATTGGTCAAAACACAACAGAGAAAATTTGGTTCTACTACTACTACTTAGAATTCACTCAGAAGAAATTCCTAGAGTAATTTTACTCAAAGGTATAGACTAACAGCTCATCATCTCTCATTAGGGTTAAGAACTTCCTAATGGTTACATGGTACTGGAAGTGTCAGTGACCATCCCTGGTTCTGAAGTTGCCTGACAAATCTGTAACTAATACTGCAGAAAGAGGGAAACCCACAATCTACTACAAAGACCAACCTTGTATTTCTCATTGTGTTGGTGACCTTTTACATGTTGTTCTCCAGAAATTGGATCCCCCAAAAATTCCTCACAGAGCTGGCAGTAAAATCCAGTGATGGGAATCAAAAACTCAGAGCCTGAAAGAAACAGAAGTAAGTTAAGGAAAGTTTCACATACGATGAGAGCAACAAAAGGAAATTCTACCACCCCAGTGGACTAAAATGGTAAGAGTGCAGAGGACCTACCACTCTGGAATCAGAAACAGCATTTAGATGAATCCTAATGGCATCACCTTCCTAACCTAAAACTTGAATTCTAGATCTCTATTCCTCCTGTCTCTTGGAAATATAACCACTTAATTCACGAGTGCACCTTTGCCATGGCCATTCTTTGTTGCTGACTTTGACCAAACACTAATTAGCACTAAGCATCTTAGTACCTATTATCACATATATATATAAAGATCTTTGAAGCTAGTATTAATTAATTAAGATCCATAGGATATAGTAGTAACGTTTACTAGAAATTAACACACAAGACTTTATAAAGAAACTTTCTACTTCTCAACATATTAATAACAATGACAAGATACTGTATAGTTTGTACTTGTAAAGGCAGTGAGGTTATTTCATCTCTCACTATTCCTTTCAACTTAGATTTCAAATAAGACTATGACAGATAAGCCAATGATAAATATTTAAAATCTGTTAGATTTTTCCCTAGATGGGTAGAGACCATTCTTTTACAGACATCATCTCTCTAGGACCTAACTCACCATTTTCATACGAAAGTCATTCTTACACCTTCATGAGTAAGAATGACTGTGTTTCATATTAAGCTGTTCCCTAGTACCCTATTCAGGAATACCTCTTCCCCAGCTGAATATAAGAGAAATGCTAAGGAGGCAGAGAGATAACATACCTTTTGCAGGGACAGTTATCTTGTCAATGCGCTTTACAGTATCTTGCTTGGCCTCACTCTGGGTCTTTGAAGCCCAAGGTCTGTTGTAGGGATCCAGTGTCTATTTGCAAGAGGCAGAGGTGCTCATACAACAGCACTGATAACTCAATGTCCCACTTCTTTCTTTCACCCAAACATATAACACAGGACCAGAATCTCCCAGCCACCCACCCCTAGCCACCCCCCTCTGCCAACAGTTTAAATGGAAATCACCTGTGGAAAAGGTAAACACACGTTAGAGCAAGTATCAGAAATGGGTAAAATGAAAGAAAAAAATCAGGTACTCAAAGGAATCAAAGAGGCTGAAGCCTCACTTATACTTGCCATGGTATTTAGTTATAGGCAGGTTCCCTAGACTCAACCCTGGGGATGGGGTCTCCTTTGTTGGTATTTCCTGGTTCTTCAGATTGGGTCTCCTGCCCATGAGAATATTTCATTTTCCAGTTTTGCAGTGCAGATGTGGACATAGAAGCTCATGGGGAAGGAGGTGAGAGTGGAAGCAACCAAAGGCAGGACACCTACCTGTGCATGCTTCTTATTGTGCATATGGGTGAAGAAGTCAAACATAGTCCCACAAATGGTGTTGCAGTCTTTGCACCAGTGATTGCCAGCATCATAATACTCATAAGTAGCAGTGGGCTGATCTGACTGCATAGCAGCCAACTGGAGGCTTTCAGCAGAGTTGGGACTTCTCGTATCAGACTGATCATTGTTTACCATTGATTCCTAGAAAGGGAAAGAAAATTGATACTTACAAGGAATTCAAGGTACATTATCCATGTCCTCTCTCAAAAACTCAATAAGAATATGGCTACTTGACTATAGTTTTGGTGGCTAAGGCTGTACAAACTGGGGAGGAACCCCAAGATAAATCAGCCTCAAGGCTCAAGCAAAATTTATCCTAAGGCATTATCATATTACAAGGAGTAAATTCTAATAGCAATATATCTACTTGCATATACTAAAATAGCTCAAGAACACACAAAATTATGGAAATACTGGCTCCATTTTTTAACTGAATACACTTTGGTAGTTGAATAATGTTACCTATCCAACTAAGTATACTACTTAAGTTTTAAAATAATAACAACTGGTCCAGCACGATAGCTTAGCAGCTAGAGTCCTCGCCTTACATGTACCAGGATCCCATATGAGCACTAGTTCTAATCCTGAAAGCCCTGCTTCCCATCCAGCTCCCTGCTTGTGGCCTGGGAAAGCAGTTGAGGACGGCCCAAAGCCTTGAGACCCTGCACATGCGTGGGAGACCCGGAAGAGGATCCAGGCTCCTGGCTTTAGATGGGCGCAGCTTCAGCAGTTGCAGCCACTTGGGGAATGAATTCCTGGACAAAGATCTTCCTCTCTATTTCTCCTCCTATCTGTATATCTGTCTTTCCAATAAAAATAAAATAAATCTTAAAAAAAAAAAAAAAAACAATAACATCCAGGGAGAGAAGAAACACCAAGACAGAAAAGGTGACCGACAGGTTAAGCAAAGAAAATGTAGAAAATAGGTGGCCTACCGGTATAGTGGTATAATGGGTTAAACTGCCACCTGCAATGCCTGTATCCCATATCTGTGTGCCAGCTTAAGTGTTAAATTATTTGCTTCCGGGTCTGGTGCAGTGGCCTAGCAGCTAAAGTCCTTGTCTGGAATGCATCGGGATCCCATATGGTTGCTGGTTCTAATCCTGGCAGCTCCACTTCCCATCAAGCTCCCTCCTTGTGGCCTGGGAAAACATCAAGGACGGCCCAAAGCTTTGGGATCCTGCACCCGTGTGGGAGACCTGGAGGGGGTTCCTGGCTCCTGGTTTTGGATTGGAGCGGCATTGGCTGCTGCAGTCACTTGGGGAGTGAATCAGCGATGGAAGATCTTCCTCACTGTCTCTCCTCCTCTCTGTATATCTGCCTTTCCAATAGAATAAATAAATCTTTTAAAAAATAATAAAATAAAAATAAATTATTTGCTTCCAATCCAGCTCTTTGATAATGCCCCTGGGAAGGTAACAGAAGATTCCACCAAGTTTGTGGGTCCTTGATACCTATTGTGGGATACCTGGACTGAGTTTCAGCTTCCTGGTTTAAGCCCGGCATGATAGACATTTGTGGAGTAAACCAGTAGAAAGAAAACCTCTTTCTCTCTCAGCCTTCCCCTCTCTGTCACTGTGCTGTCAAAAAATACAACAAATCCTTTTTAAAAATGCAGAAAATAGGGCCCAGCAGCATGGCCTAGCGGCTAAAGTCCTCACCTTGAACATGCCGGGATCCCATATGGGCACCGGTTCTAATCCCAGCAGCTCCACTTCCCATCCAGTTCCCTGCTTGTGGCCTGGGAAAGCAGTTGAGGACAACCCAAAGCTTTAGGACCCTGCATCCACGTGGGAGACCTGGAAGAAGCCTCTGACTCCTGGCTCCGGATTGGCACAGCACCGGCTGTTGTGCTCTTGGGGAGTGAATCATCAGATGGAAGATCTTCCTCTCTGCCTCTCCTCCTCTCTGTATATCTGACTTTGTAAAAAATAATAATAATAATAATAAATTTTGAAAAAAATGCAGAAAATATGCCTGGTATGATTGGTCAATGGCTAAATCCTACCTTGCAAGTGTCGGAATCCCATATGTGCACCGCTTCCCACCCAGCTTCCTGTTGTGGCCAGGAAAGCAATAGAGGATGGCTCAAAGCCTTGGCAATCAAACCCATCTGAGGGATCCAGAAGTTCCTAGCTCCTAGCTTCACATTGGCTCAGCTCCAGCCATTGCGATCACTTGGGAAGTGATTCAGTAGATGGAAGATTTTTCTCTCTGCCTCTCCTGCATTCTATAAATCTGATCTGCCTTTTCAATAAAAAGAAAAAAAATCTTTTTTTTAAATGCTAAAAATAGGGGCTGGCATGATAGCTCAACAGGTTAATCCTTCCCTTGCAAGTCTCAGCATCCAATATAGGCACTGATTCATGTCCTGGCTGCTCCACTTCCTGTCCAGCTCTCTGCTTATAGCCTGGGAAAGCTGTGGAAAACACTGCACTCATGTGGGAAACCTTGAAGAAGCTCCTGGCTTTGGATCAGCAGTTGTTGCCATTTGGGGAGTGAACCAACAGATGAAAGATCTTTGTCTCCTTCTCTCTGTACATCTACCTTTCCACTAAAAATAGATAAATATTTAAAAGAATGCAGAAGGGCCCAGTGCGGTGGCGCAGTGGTTAAGGTCCTCGCCTCGCACGCCCGGGATCCCATATGGGCGCTGGTTCTATCCCGTTGGCCCCACTTCCCATCCAGCTCCCTGCCTGTGGCCCGGGAAAGCAGTCGAGGACAGCCCAAGGCTTTGGGATCCTGTACCCATGTGGGAGACCCAGAAGAGTCTCCAGGCTTTGGATCGGCATAGCATCGGCCATTGCGCTCACTTGGGGAGTGAATCATCACACGGAAGATCTTCCTCTCTGTCTCTCCTCTCTGTATATCCGCCTTTCCAATAAAAATAAAATAAATCTTTAAAAAAAAAAAAAAAGAATGCAGAAAACTAGAGGCAGTGAACTCAATTACCATATTCACCCTGAAATGGAAAACTGAAGAGCAGGGCTAGTGTTGGGCATAGACAAAGTGGACCGCTATCTATGAAGAACTACTGAAGAAATCTGGGCAAAATATTTGCTGAAATGTCATCAGTATAGAATTTACATGTGAATTAGCTTTCTTTTAAAACATTTCAATTTTGCAACAAGAAAATAATTTTAAAATAAATTAATCTATCGTTAGGCGAAAAACAAGATACTTAGAAAATACGGGCTAATGTTGGACAGTAAGATAAAAAAAAAACAGAATTCTTAAACACAGAGATGGTAAATATGAATGCAGCTGTACAGCAGATGAATAATCTGTGCACCTGGAATACTGGATGATGAGACGAAAAAGGGTAAAATGAAGCAATTAGGGATTCAAAGATGCTTATTCCCTATCAGAATCCTATGAAAGAGTTATTAAAGAGCTCACACTCTGGGGCTCTTGTTGTGGCACAGTAGGTAAATTCAATAACTACAGTGCCAACATCCCATTTGGGCACTAGTTTGAGTCCTAGCTGCTCCACATCCCTGCTGATATACCTGGGAAAGCAGTGGAAGGTGGTCCAAGTGCTTGTTGTCCTATACCCACACAGGAGACCCAGAAAAGGCTCCTCACTCCAGGCTTCAGCCTGGCCCAGCTCCAGTCACTGAGGCTGGAAAGTTAACTGGTTGATGGAAGACCTGTCTCTCTCTCTAACTCTGCCTCTCAAATCAATAAATGACACACATACATAAGCTCACACACCACAGGTATGAAATAAGGCTGAAGAGTTAGATTAGGAAGAAGTACAATGATCACTAGCTGTTATGTGGAGAAAGAACTAATAATGTAGCAGGGGACAGACATTTTGTCTGGTGGTTAAGCCTGTGGTTAGGGGTTGCTGAAGCCTGTGCAGTGGGCGGTACATGGGGCACATGACAGATCGTTGAGGCCTGCAGAGAACGTCTAGTAACACGGAGGGCGGAACAAATTGGAAACTCTTCCAGCCAAGCTTTGACAGCAAGTATCTGGTGAGTGGAGACTCTAGGATGGACTATGTCAGACAGTGGACCTTGGAAGGAGTTCCCCAACCTTGGAACAACAAAATCAACACATCAGAACTATCAAAGCCATGTAAGCAGTGCCCTCAGAACATGTCCCACATCAGGAACTATAGGATGACATCAATTGGCTGTCCCATCTCTAGGCACTGATGTAGTTAGGCTGTTGGGAACAACCCTCTCCCCTTCCTCCAGATATAGGAGGAAAGAAGAAATTGAAAATAATTGTCTCATCCACTTTTCCCCATTCCTTGATCTCCCCCATCCTAATCAAAGGCTCACATGGGTGTCTATTCTTTTCAACTATGTAAACATCATCAAAAATAAAAAGAAAAAAAAAAGACTCAGGTTAAGGACCGTTGTTGTTGAAGGACTATAATATTGTTACAATATGGGGGGAAACAGTGGGAGGGAGAAGCTAGAAGGGGAAATCTCTGAACCTAAGGAACTGTATTATGAAATATTTTTTTAGAAAGAATAAAAAGACTGGTTAGGAAACCTGTCTCCCATATTGAAGTCCCAGGGTTCAAGTTCTGGCTCCACTCTTTTTTCTTTTTTAAGATTTATTTATTTATTGGAAAGTCAGATATACAGAGAGGAGGAGAGACAGAGAGGAAGATCTTCCGTCCGATGGTTTACTCCCCAAGTGAGTGCAACGGCCGGTGCTATGCCAATCCGAAGCCTGGAGCCAGGAACTTCTTCCAGGTCTTCCACGTGGGTGCAGGGTCCCAAGGCTTTGGGCCATCCTCAACTGCTTTCCCAGGCCACAAGCAGGGAACTGGATGGGAAGTGGAGCTGCCGGGATTAGAACCGGTGCTCATATGGGATCCTGGCACGTTCAAAGCAAGGACTTTAGCCACTAGGCCACGCTGTCAGGCCCTGGCTCCACTCCTGATTCTAGCTTTCTGTGGCTCTGAACCCTATGGGGGCAGTAGGTAATAACTCAGGTCTTTACTACTGGAAGATCTACATACAGTTCCTAGCTTAGGGCTTTGAACAGACTTAGCTCTAGCCAATGTGGGAAGTTATGGATTGAACTAGAAGTTGGGAGAAGCGCTGGCTATTTCTCTCAAACATATTTTTTTAAAAAAAGTTTTTTTTAAGAATATAGTAGGAACTTCAAGGCTTCACATGACTTAGACTTTATTGCAATGGATGCACTAGTGTGGCAAGTTGGTTAAGTCATCACCTGAGTTGCCAATATTCCAAATGAACACTGGTTTTAATTCAGCTGTTACACTTGCAACCTAGCTCCCTGTCAATACACTTGGGATAGCAGCAGATGACCCAGGAGCTTGGGCCCATGCCACCCACATGGGAAACGTAGCAGGAATTCCAAATTTCTGGGATTGACCTGATTCAGCCACATCTGCTGCAGTCATTTGGGAAGTGACTCAATGGATATATCTCTCTTTCTGTCTCTCCCTCTCTGTCACTCCACCTTCCAAATAAATAAATTAAGTCTTAAAATGAAACTGAGATTTACTTTGGAGGGAATGCTGATAAGGAGACCATAACTGATTAGGCGTGTAGCAATTACGGAAACATTCAGGTTGTTGGTCTGAACATTGTTGATCACTAGTGCGATTCATTGATAATGGTTGAACATTAGAGAAAGAAAAAGTGGTGGGAAGGCTGACCACAATCAATAGTTTAATGCTGAATTCAGAGCCGAGCAAAGCTGCAGCACCTACTGGCTTGGAACTCTGATGGGTGGAGCTTTGGATCAGCACACCACCCACTGGGCTTCTGAAGGCTGGGCTGAAGAACCTCATGTACTCCTGGGCAGAAGGATTATGGATTGAATAGGGAAAGGAGCAAGGGGATATGCAGCAGGGAGGACCACAGTGGGAGCAGACTGCAAGTGAGGAAGGACTCCTGAGGGACTCCCAACAAGGCTATGGTACTTACAGGTAAGTGAGAGGACTGAGACCTGGTGTTTCTGAGGGGAGAGACCAGAAGACCTTACAGGTCAGACCGATGCCACAGCCCACTTGAGCAACCTAAGCTGGGCTTGTTGGCATGGAACATTGCTGACCACCACATGCCAGCCCACAACAAAGTGAGGGCTGGGGGCCTGTCTGGCAAGGCCAGATTCTAGTACCTAACAGTGAGTGTCTTAAAGGGGACAAGGCCATGACACTAACCAGCATGCAAGAGAACCAGGTCCAGGGGTAGATTCTGTTGGGGACATGTGGGCCTAACCCTGTAGAATTACAAGTCCCGCTGGTTAGCTTAAGAGTTGGGGTCGTCATGGGCCAAGCTAGGCATGACCATGGAAACCATGAACACTCATGGGTACTGAGGCTGGGAACAATTTGGCAAGTCCAGGCTGCAGCACCATGCATGGGAATCCTCAAACAGGGTGTGGTGCTGGCTGGGCTGAAACACCCACTAACCCATATAAAGGCCAGGATGGAGGTGGCAGGCTATGCCAGGTATGGGTCTAGCATCTGCTAGCATGCATGACATCTGGGTCTGGCCATGGACCTCTTGGGAATTTGGGAAACTTTCCTGTAGGCCACAGCTACCGCTGATGAGCATGTGGTCCAGGGGTTCTGCAGGCTGGGCAAGGCAACTCCATCCACTGGCAAACATGTGGGTTGGTTTTGGAAGAGGGTGAACCGGGAAGAGCCGAGCAAACCTTAGCCCACTAGTGAGTACAGACCAGGCTGGAGTGCAGGTCATACCAGAATAGGCTATCACACATATTGATATACAAGAGCAAGGGATAGGAGCCGACTTAGCAGGGCCAGATTCCAGCACCCACCAACAAGAGGGGTAACTGGAGGCCAGCTGGGTCAAGCCAGGCTACAGCATCCAAAGACAAAGGTCAAAACAGATGAGGAGCTATGCCAAGCCGGGTCAGAGCAACCACTGGCAAGCGTGAGATCTGTGGCTGGGAACAGGCCTGGTTGGGGAGCAACGAGGACCTGGCTCCATTATGACTTTGATTGGTGAGCACGAGGGCCAGAGTGGGGCTGTGGTCTGGTCTGGACATGGCTGCAGTGTCCCCCAGCACAGGTGCAGAGTGGGTCTGGGGCATGCCAGACTGGGCTAGACTCCAGCACCCTCTCGTGTTTGTGAGAACCAGGGTGGGTGTAAGATGGGCTGGGCTAGGTTTCTGCCCCTGCCAAGCCATGTGGGAGCCGTGGCTGAGTGTGGACCAGGCTTGGCTTGGCTGTAACACCCAAGAATAAGAACTGAAGTGGGGGCCCAGCGCGGTGGCGCAGTGGTTAAAGTCCTCGCCTTCCATGCCCGGGATCCTATATGGGCGCCGGTTCTGATCCCGGCGGCCCTGCTTCCCATCTAGCTCCCTGCCTGTGGCCTGGGAGAGCAGTCGAGGATGGCGCAAGACTTTGGGACCCTGCACCCGCGCAGGAGACCCCCTAAGAGGCTCCTGGCTTCGGACTGGCATAGCATTGGCCATTGCGCTCACTAGGGGAGTGAATCATCGGACGGAAGATCTTCCTCTCTGTCTCTCCTCTCTGTATATCCGCCTTTCCAATAAAAATAAAAATAAATCTTTTAAAAAAAAAAAGAACTGAAGTGGGTGAAGGCCAGTTAGGAATAGCCACCATTCCTGCTAGGATGGGAGGTAGACTAAGTAGGGTTGGCCCATGGACCCACTGGTGTGTGTGAGATCTGGCACTGAGAGAGGTTTGGATGGAGGGGCTTGGAGAACTCCTCTGTTGGGAAACAGTCCCTGCAGGTGAGCACAAGAGCCAAGACAGGGAGCAGCTCAGACTAGCCCAGGATATGGTTCCCACCAACATACATTTGGCTCAGGTCTGGGACAGACCAGGCTGGGCCAGTTCATATCACCTGCTGGTGAAACTGAGCACCAGAATGGAGTGTACCAGGGCCAGGCCAGAATGGGTCAGGCCACAGCACAAGCCAGTACACATTAGGGCTGGGACTGGGTGCCGGCTGGGCTGGGCTAGGCTGTAGCCCCACCAACATGAACTGGAATTGGGGTGTGGACCAGTTCCAGCCTGGTACACCACCCACTGGCATATGCTGAGATGAGGCGGGCCGTATTCCCCAACCAGCACACGTGAGAACCACGGGGGGTGGAGGAGAACTCAGAGCTGGGCCTCCTCAGTGCCTCAGATGGAGCAGTGGACAGCACATTCAAATGCATATGGAAGATATGGCAGTATATTGGAGCTTGCAGAGGATATCTGGTACCACAACAGAGGATGGAGGACAGAACAAGTTGATCAACTACCCTAACCAAGTGTTGACAGTGAACATCTGGGCAAATGGAGACTCTAAGGTGGACTATGTCAAACAGTGGAATCTGGTTAGATTTCGTCATGATTGGAGTGTCGAGATCAACAGCAATTCAGAACTTTTAGAGTATCAAAACCATCTGAGCGGGAGTCTTGGAGTATGCCTCACACTGGAGACCCTGGGATGGTTGGGAGTCTGTGTATGGCTGTTCTCCTTTTCTCCCCTTTCCCCAGATACAGGAAGGAAAAAGAGAATGTGTAAACAATAATCTCTCTTTCCTCTCGCCCTTGATCTTTCACACACTAATCAACTATGTAAAACTCATCCACAAATAAAATTTAAAAAAAAAAATTTTTTTAAAGAAATGGACTGGCACTGGAGTCTAAATCTGTGAAGCTGAATCCCAGAACCAGCTGTAGAGTACATAAATAGGAACAGGAGTCGCCTAGAATGGAGACAGTTATCTCCTCCTTCTTTGGTTACCACTCCCACCAGAGGGCACGAAACCTAAGGCAGGGTCTTGGGTGTCACCCAACATTATGTGTGTGGGCTGGATAGTTGGGCTTGTTGGGTTGAACTAGGCTTTAACGGCCATTGACATGTATGAAAGCTGAATGGGTTGTGGGACACAATGGACTATATTGCACATACTGGCAAGCATGGGAACCAAGGCTTGGGGCAGTCCTGGTGGGGGTTATTGTGGGTCACTCCGACTAGACTGCAGCTCCCACTGGTTTATGTGAGGGCCGAGTGTGTGCTGGGCAGAATCAAGCTGGACTGCCACACCCACTGCTTCCAGTGGAAGACAGGGCTGGAAGCAGAACCGACCCAGCAATTGCAACCACTGGCTGATTGGGGTATTGGAGTGCACAGGGCCCTGTACTTGCAAGTACGCACAAGAATCTGGCTGATCTGGGTTCACTTCTTCCCAAAATTCTTTGGGGATACCCCCAGTCAAACTTCCAGACTCAGAACCCTAACCATGAAAAGACAGAGGACAGAACAAATCAATCAACTACCCCAGCAATATGTTGGCAGTGAAAAACTGGGCAAATGGAGACTCTAAGATGGGTTATGTCAATCAGTGGATTCTTCAGCGACTTCATCGTGCTTGCAATGGCAAGACTGGCAGCAATTCATAACTATTGAACTATCAAAATTACTTGAGGAAGACCCTCGGAGCATGCCCCACATCGGGGACCTGGGATGGGTGGGAGACTGGGTGGGTCTTCTCCCTTTACCCCAGATACAGGAAAAAAAAAATGTAGAAATGATAGTCTTATCTACTTTCCTGTAGCCTTTGAACCTTTGTGCCCTAATTAACTATGTAAGGTTGTCAAAAATAAAGAACAACAACAACAAAAAAGAAATGGAAAAGTCGAGTTGTTACCTTGTTGTTGGAGGCGTTTGAAGATGATACTTCTTCTGGACTCATAGATTCTTCTGCTTTCGCAGGCTTTTCTGGAGACTCTTTACTGTCATTTAAAGACTTCTGAGATTTTTCAAAGATGTTAATTCCTAAGATCTGAGCCACTTTGTCCAGTTCGGATTGCTTCTTTTCCGCCTCCTCCGCTTCTTGTCGAAGCTCAGCAATGTCCTTCATAATGTTGTCCTGAAGCCGACTCACCTCCACTAGGAGTGGGTCTTTGTGGCCATCTTTCTCTCTTCTTTTCTTACGAAGCATTTCTCCTGAATAGCCAAATGTCAACAAAAGGAAGCAAAGGGAAAATAAGTTAGAACAATTTATTTTTCACTTATAAGCACAATCAGTCAGGGACTTATGCTTACCAAATTTATTCCCACAAAAGTTTCTAAGAGCAAGGAAGATATTCCTACTGCACAGGCTGATGTGGAAAAAGATTCTATTAAGGCAACTGTTGGATGCTCACATTATTTTTTGTGGAAGATGACTGACTAGAGATCTATGGCCAAAATGGTTCATGAGCTTGTGTACATGTATCCTCCAAAAAGGTTTATAAATATGATAAATATGCAGGGTCCTAAAGCTTTGGGCTGTCCTCAACTGCTTTCTCAGGCCACAGGCAGGGAGCTGGATGTGAAGTGGAGCTGCCGGGATTAGAACCAGTGCCCATATGGGATCCCAGAGCATTCAAGGCGAGGACTTTAGCCACTAGGCCACGGCTCTGGGCCCCAAAATAAATAAATTTTTAAAAATAATAATTTTTCATCCCTAAATAGTCCAAATCCAGAAACAAATACATTTTCTCCCTGTTTTTTTAATACTATCATCAGCTGCAGTATTTAGAAGTTTTACTATATTCTTTCCTCATGTGTATGTGAATTCTCAAAAGTGTAGAGATGGAATAAAAGGAATTATAAAACATCTTTTTGTATTCAAATATAAGCATGTACTCAAAAATGATGGGGACATACCAAAAGGAAACAATATAGGGGTTCCCAATGGCCAAATTTGGCCTAATTAAAGTACAAGAATCCATAATAGACAAATATAACTTCCTGAATAGAGAATTCATGAATGTACACTGATACAAATTAACAGAATAAATGGGGATAATAAGTTGTACAGTACCTCTAAGGCAGAAAGTCAACTATAAAGGTAGAAGAAATAACAAAATTAAAAGTTGCTGGGCCAGGCATAGTAGCCTTGTGTCTAAAGTCCTTCCCTTGAATGTGCTGGGATCCCACAGTGGCACCAGTTCTAATACCGGCAGCTCCTCTTCCCATCCAGCTCCCTGCTTGTGGCCTGGGAAAGCAGTTGAGGACGGCCCAAAGGCTTTGGACCCTGCACCCGTGTGGGAGACCTGAAGGAAGTTCCTGGCTCCTGGTTTTGGATCGGCACAGCACCAGCTGTTGCGGTCACCTGGGTAGTGAATCATCAGATAGAAGATCTTCCTCTCTGCCTCTCCTTATCTCTCTATATATCTGACTTTGCAATGAAAAAAATAAATATTAAAAAAAAAGTTGCTATAAAATGACTATGATAAATAACTTATTCAAGAATCATCAGTGGATGCTAAAAATTAGAAAATGGAAATTTGGGGCCCAGCAGCATGGCCTATCGGCTAAAGTCCTTCCCTTGAATGTGCTGGGATCCCATATGGGCACTGGTTCTAATCCCAGCAGCTCCACTTCCCATCCAGCTCCCTGCTTGTGGCCTGGGAAAGCAGTCGAGGATGGCCCAAAGCTTTGGGACCCTGCACCCATGTGAGATTCCTGGCTCCAAGCTTTGGATCAGCATAGCATCGTCCATTGCGGTCACTTAGGGAGTGAATCATTGGACGGAAGATCTTCCTCTCTGTCTCTCCTCCTCTCTGTATATCTGACTTTGTCATAAAAATAAATAAATCTTAAAAAAAAAAAGAAAATGGAAGTTTGAGAAGTAACTAAATATTCACATAGTCTCAAAGTAGCTTTCTTACAAGATATTTAGTTGAAAGGATCAAATAACAACTTTATAGCACCTTAAGCCAATAATGATCAGTTAAGACCAGCAGTTATGGTACAAAACCAACACCTACTAAGAACTCAGTGTTACTTTTGCTATGTTCCTGCCAAAAATCATATGGAAAGATCAGACATATCCAAAATAAAGAGACATTTTACAAAATATGTGGCCTCTTCACAATGCTATTAACAAATTCAAAGACTCAGAAACTACTACCGATCAAAAAGACTAAAAGAACGTGACAACTGAATGTGAATATTCTTTTATTTCCTTTTGCTCTAATGTTCATAACTAGTATAACTAGTAAAATAGGAATAATAATGGTAGACTAGATAACAATATTAACATTGATTTAAAGAATTTTGCCAAGGGACCCAGCTGGCAACCTAGTGCTTTAAGTCATCACCTTGCATGTGCCGGGCACCGTATGGGTGCTGGTTTGTATCCCAGCAGCCCCACTTCCCATCTAGCTCCCTGCTTGTGGCTTGGGAAAGCCACAAGGATGGCTCAAAGCTTTGGAAGAAGCTCCTGGCTCCTGGTTCCAGATTGGATCAGCTCTGAACATTGAAACCACTTGGGAAGTAAACCAGCAGATGAAAGGTCTTTCTGTCTCTCCTTCTCTGTCTTTCCAACAAAAAGAAATAACTCCTTAAAAAAATGTTAAGTACACTATGGTTATGTACAAGAGATCTTTGTTGCTAGGAAATACACACTTAGGTATTTGGGGATAAAGGAGCTTCAAATCTGTAACTTCCTGTAATTGAACTCAGAACAAATTATATACAAAGAGACACTAAAAAGGAGAAATAGGTGAATCAAATAAATATAGTACAATGTTAACCTGGAAGATGCGCTCCTTTGAATTATGTAATTTTCTGTAACTCTAACACTCAATTTTTTTAAGTCATGCTTTAGGTGACTGAATCTGAGAGCACCAAAACCTCTCCATTTGGATCACCTGCTTAAGTCACTACAGAAAGGCAGTCATGCAAGGAGTTGTCTGATACCTTGTTGTTTATGAAGCCGTTCCAACTCAGTCCTCAGATAATACATTTTCTTCTGGCGGGCTTCCCGGTCACTCTTTAGTTTTTCCCTCTCTTCAATAACCTACAAAGTACAAAATGGGAAAGAGTCCTGCCGCCTGTAATATCCCCCCTTTCCTACTTCTCTTTTCCAGAAGCCCTCATTATCTGAATCTAAGGATTAAATGCCTGCACACTGAAGATCTGCCTTATAATCAGAGTAGTATTTCATTCTATTCCAAGTTCCAGAGTAGAATTATCCAGTATAGTTCTACACTGCCTGGAAAGCTCTGCTTTTATGGAGAAGATCCTAAGGGTGCTAACAGTAACTAACAGAAAATGGCTCTTAGCCAAAGGGAACCCTGGAGAAGGAAGCTTACATGGGTTATGAGTAAGTTGTATTACATCAACCCTCACAATATTTTCTCTATTGTACAGTAAGAAAACTGAGGATACACAAGATTGAGTTACACAGTAAAAGTAGATTTAAAATCCACCAGATTTGTAGGGCCAAGCACAGTAGCCTAGCAGCTAAAGTCCTTGCCTTGTAGTCACCAGTAGAGCTATCCATGTCACTCAGGGGATGACAGAAAACTCCGAAAAGTGAAAGTGACAGGGCCTTGTAAATTTTCAGTCCCCTTTATAAGACAAATATAAATTTATATTAAAATAGAAAACTCAGGCATAGGATACCCAAAGTGAATATTTACCTTCTGCTTCTGGGATGCACGGTTCTTTTCATCAGAGATCTTCTCTGGATTATATCTTATGAGTGGTGGGATAGACATCTGTACAGGCACTTGAGCAGCAGGAATCCCGCCTAGCTCCGACTCCTCCTGCTTGGGCTGATGGGGAGTAACCGTCGGAATCACACGGAGATTGGGACGACTACGAGTAGCTAGTCTGGTTATTGGCATTATCCTGTGTGGCTCAGGTAGAGTGTGGTTTGACGTTTGGGAGGTGGGGTACATGGGCCATCTTGAGGCTGCATATGCCATATAGTGCCTATAGGCATCAAAGGAGGAAGAGGGTATGGCAGATCCCTGGTAGTTTGAAGATATCCGGGCTGCAGAAAACTGAGAGGTCCTTGGCATATGAAACTGAGATAAAGAAGCAGAATGTGAAAGTCTAATTGGGGTAGAAGAGGCTGTTGGTAACAGGCACCTGACTGCAGATGACCGAAAGCCACTACCAACCACGTCTGGTCCTGATATATGACCCAAGGGATGGTCAGATTTGAGGAATGGAGGGCTGTTTTGTGTGAGCAGGTAAGGATCCACAGGGGAGGCTGGGTGTGGATGGGATGCCTCCGGAGAGTGGATACTGCTATGGTGCGCATCCCTGCTCTCTAGTCTATGGGGATCGGAGGAACGTCGATCAGCTGAGAAACAATGATCCACTGAAGAACAGCGATCAGCTGAAAAATGTCGGTCAACTGAGGAACGCCGGTCAACTGAGGAGCGAGATGATGGCTTCTTGCCATGAAGTCGTTCCTGGGTACGCGCAGCCAGTTTGCTGATCTCTGCCACACCAATATCCAGCCCTATGGTCTTCAGCAAATCATGAATCTTGGCATATTCTGGATTGGTCTCTTCTAGGGATTCTAGCTTCACAGTTGGAGCTGAAGAGGGTAGGGAGTTTGCCTTCTGCATCATATTTTCACTCTCAAAGGGCTTTGGTGGAGACTCTGCTTTTAAATCCTCTTCTTCATCCCCATAGAGAAATTTCTCCTCATCCTCAATATCAGGAAAGCTACGTCGCCTTTTTTCTTGCGTACTAGTAGAATCAGCTAACATGCTCAAAATGCGGGAAAAACCACTGCCATCCTGGCTAGCTCTCTCATGAGGCAGCAAAAAGTCTGTGTTCCGCTCAGGTCCCTCAGCCTTCATATCCAGTTTCTCCTTGTGACAGAGAAAACTACCAAATTTTTCTCTGTGAGGACTGCTGTCTTTGGGCATCCCAGGGAGGGTACCCCATTGGTAGAGGCTACCCTGACGTTCCTTTAAGGCAGTCTCTACTATAGTCCCCTTGTTCTCAATCTCTGAGGCAAATGCAGCAATATCACCACTTAGTGGAAGAGATGGGTGTGAAGAGTAGAGAGGATGATCCTGGCTAGAGCTGGTACTGCTGGAAAAATTCTCAAGCTGCAAAAGACAAATAATTAATTTAGCTTCTACAAAGAATCTTAGAACACAAGGAGGAAACCAAGCTTTTCCTGAATTACTGGGGGAAGGGTAAATCTGAATAAATGGGAGAAGAGCTTCCTTAGCCAGGCTCATGATAAGCATTCCCATTTCTCCAGGTCTCTGCTATAGCACAGAGAAATCTGAAGGGAGAGAGATTGGCTAGAATCCTCACCTTTGGTCACTACGGTCTTAATCAAGGAACTTGAATGCAATAGGATTTTAGAGATTCCTTGGCTTGTATTTGTTTTTAATATGGGTCGTTAGGAGAAAAACCATAAAAAATAGAATTGCTTTACAGTAAGGAAAAGGAACTCTGAACTCTTTTAACTCATGAGTCTCTCCTGGCTACTAGCGATCTTCTTCAGAAGCTTTACACTCCTAAGAGGACAGGTGAACATGAATGGCCCTGCCTTACCATCTATACATGAGAAAAAAATGTACATGCACACACACACACACACACACACACACACACACACACACACACACACGTGTCTGTGTGTGTATACATATGCATAAGATCTAGAATGGTGAAATGATTTGTCTGAAAACCACACAGCAAGCTGGTGGAAGGAGCCAAAATCAGCATCACCAATTTCTGGTATAAAGTCTTATACAATTCACTGTAAAAACAGATGAGGAAATTTAAGTCAACTCCTTCTCTTCCCCTTTAAGCTTAATTTCTAAGAAATCCATATTCAAAGACTCCTACAGGTCCACCTGATTTGAGGTGGAAAAAAGAGAGCAGATACTCAAATGTCTACCTAAAAAACCTACTATATGGCAAGGGAAGAGCTTTACTGACATATTATGAGGCCCACCGTTTTGGCTGGGAATCTTGGAAAGTATAGACATAACAAATAGGTCCAGTATTTATTAGCGACATAGTTCCTGGGAAAGAAACCAGCTTGTAAGATATCAAAGGAACTAGCAAGACACTCGACAGATACCTGCAGGTTCCACACCTACCTCGATCCGCTTCTTAAGAATGGACTTCTTGGGCATCAGAGATACTTCTTCAGACCGATGCAAAGAATATCCTGGCTCTGATCCTGTTAGGACACCTGACAATCCAGGGATGGAACAGCTAGTGCCATCACCATCAACTCCCACCAGCTCCTGACTCAAGCTCCTACTTCGTTCCTCCTCTTCCTCTCGCTTTCGCCTAGCAAGGTCCAGCTCTCGAAACTCAGGATCTAGAAACCTTGGACTTGGGCTCCGTCTCCGCTGTCGATAGTTTCGAGTCCCCGAGGTATAACTTGGGTGTTCCCCACCTGTGCTGTGCATCTTCTCAGCATCATCGTAACGGGCCCTTTTGGCCTCCCAGCTCCTTTCCTCAGATCGTACAGAGTATGAGTCTTTAACTTTGTCTCTATTCCGCCCTGTCCCCCGCAAGAATTCATCACGACCACCAATGTGGTGACTATAATCAGAACGATGCAAAAAAGCCTCCCTTGTTCTGTAGTCCTCATCAAGTTGTTCCAAGAAGGGGCTGAGTGGTCCCTCCTCCCGGGAAATATATCGCTCAGGACCACGAGAGCACTGGGAGCTTCGACTGAGGACAGAATCGTCTGTCAGGTCATCCCTGAAAATAAAGAAAAGCATCATTGAAAGGACTTGGTAAAAACAGACAAGAATGAGAATCACATGTGGAAAACACAGAGAAAAAGACAGTAGTCACAAAGGACGAGAATAGATCTATATATCTGTGGAACTTTTCCCATCTCTTTCCCCAGGGACACGAGCAGCTTCAGCTTCTAATCAAGTAGCCTAGCAGTGGGTAAAGTCTGCCTTACATGTGCCAGGATCCCATATGGGCACAGATTTGTGTCCTGACTACTCCACTTCCCTTCCAGCTCCCTGCTGGTAGCTTGGGAAAACAGTCAAGGAGAGCCCAAAGCCTTGGGACCCTGCACCCACATGGAAGACCCAGAAGAGGTTTCTGGCTCCAGGCTTTGAATCAGTTCAGCTCTGGCCACGGTGCCCATTTGAGGGGTGAACCACAGGATGGAAGATCTTTCTCTCTGTTTCCTTCTCTCTGTAAATCTGATTTTCCAATAAAAATAACTTTAAAAAGCTTTATTAAAATGCACAGTTACAAAAAGAGGGAGAGGGCCCGGCGTGATGGCGCAGTGGTTAAGGTCCTCGCCTTGCACGCCCGGGATCCCATGTGGGCACCGGTTCTAATCCCGGCAGCCCCACTTCCCATCCAGCTCCCTGCCTGTGGCCTGGGAAAGCAGTCAAGGGTGGCTCAAGGCTTTGGGACCCTGCACCCGCGTGGGGGACCCGGAAGAGGCTCCTGGCTTCGGATCAGCATAGCATCAGCCGTTGCACTCACTTGGGGAGTGAGTCATTGGACGGGGAAGATCTTCAACTCTGTCTCTCCTCTCTGTATATCCGCCTTTCCAATAAAAATAAAATAAATCTTAAAGAAAAAAAGAAGGCCCACCCAATTTAAAAAAAAAAGAGGGAAAGACATGGTGAGACAGAGAGAGATCTTCTATATACTGGTTCACTCTCGAAATGGCTAAAATGGCCAGGGCTAGGCCACACAGAAGTAGAAGGCAGGAATCGGGAGCTTCGTCCCAGTTTCCCATGTGAATACAGGGCCCCAAGCTCTTGGGCCATCTCCTGCTACTTGCCCTGGCTCATTAGCAAGGAGATGGATTAAAAGTGGAACAGCTGAGATTCAAACTGGCACATATTTGGGATGTTGGCATTACAGGAAGTGACAATTTTTTTTTTCAAAATATCCTGTTATTACCAATACACCTAGACAAAGCATCTGAGGTTAGTTAGTTCTTCGACTAAATTTTGAGGATGCAGAGTATCAGGCCAGAACTTGGGAAATGTGAAAGCACCACCAACAAACAACTTCATTCTAGCTCTCAACTCCACACTAATTAAAACTCAAGCTCTTTACTCCTTAAAGTGTGGTCTGCATCAAAAGCATTAGCATTACCTGAGAATTTCCTATAAATACAGATTGTTAGGCCATCCCTCAGGCCTGCTGAACCAGAATTTAGCTTTAACAAGATCTTCAGGTGATCTGTATGTACTTTAACCTTTGAGAAACACCAATCCAGATCAACAGTTTTTAAGACACTCCACAAAGATTTTAAGCAGTGTAAGAAGCCACCTAATGGAAAAGGTGCTGTGAAAACGGAAACAGCAGAGCTTTGGGCCTTCTATACCACTTAAGTTATAATACCTTCAATTTTTTGTCTAGATAACAAAGTTCTGTTTAATATCTGAAAAAGAGGGTGTCACTGTGGGGGACTTCTTTAACTAATGATCCAATTAGTATTATTTTCTCATTGTTTTAAAAGATAATTCAATGCTTTCTTTTGCTAAGTCACATACCAACAACCACAAAACTCCTTCACCGCTTGTTCTGCAACCCTCTCTCCTGCCTTACCTGGAAATTCACAAGTACATTGCCAATACTGGGTCTAGGAAATGGAGTTGGTGTAACTCACTGTAGCCTTTCATTTCATAGAAATACAAAAGTCGATTATCTTGTGGCAAGATGAGTTTGGGCAGTGTTCAGTCGTGGTGTTGGGGCAAATGGAGCCCCCTGCAATGTGGCGGGTGTTGGGGGTGCCCCAGCAAGGCCGGACCCAATGCTGGGGACTCAGGCCAAAGTCACTGCCGACAGGCAGTGAACTAGTCCTAGGTTTAGGCGGCCAGTGCGCTTATTTGACACCAGGCTCTGCCTCTGGCCGCCCGGCAGCAAGCTCTGGGGTTTTTAGGATATGTAATTGCTGCCTAGGGACATCCATGGATAAGGCCAGTGTGAGCGTAGATGAGGGATGAATTCTGGGTGATTCCCAGCAACGGAGTCACGGAATTTTCTGGCAAAGGTGGGGGCTGAGACCTGATAGTTTGGAGGGGAGAGTCCATAAGATCTATTTGGGCCAGACTGATTCACCAACCCACACAGAATCCTGAGATGAGATTTTCATGCCAGTATTGTTCCGCAAACATGGTGAACATTCCTAAGCACGCCAGACCTTCTGTAAGAAATGCGGCAAGCATCAGCCCCACAAAGTAACACGGTATAAGAAGGGCAAAGACTCCTTCTATGCCCAGGGGAAACAGCATTATGATAGGAAGCAGAGTGGTTATGGCGGGCAGACTAAGCCTATTTTCCGGAAAAAGGCTAAAACCACAAAGAAGATTGTGCTGAGGCTTGAGTGTGTAGAGCGCAACTGCAGATCCAAGAGAATGCAGGCTATTAAGAGACGTAAACATTCTGAACTGGGAGGAGATAAGAAGAGAAAGGGCCAAGTGATCCAGTTCTAACCTTCATTCTCAGCTTTGTTATGAATTGAATAAAGTCTTAAGATTACTGTTCACTTAATTTTTTTTGAGGGAGGAGGAAATAAACTGGAGCCATCAATAAAATTCCTCTTGGAAATTTGAAAAAAAAAAAAAAAGAATACTGAGATGGGCTGTTAGCATAGAGCATCACTGACTGCCACACATCAGTCCACACGAAAGTTATGGATGGAGTAGGTACCAGTACCTGACTGAGTGGCGGAACAGGGGAAGGGTCACTTGGCAGGGTCAAGACACTAACCAGCACGCGAGAGCACCAGATCCAGAGGTAGATTCTGTGGGGGAAGTATGGACCCAACCCTGTGGAAATACAAGTCCTGTTGGTTAGCTTGCGAGCTGGGGTGGCTGCATCTCCCTTGGCACAAGTGTGAACTGGGGCTAGGTACACCTAACCAGGGTAGATACCAGCACCATCTGGTGCTCTGGAGAACCTGTGTAGATGTAGGACTGACTAGGCTAGGTCTCTGCCCCTACTGAGCCATGTGTGAGCAGTGTCTGGGTATGGACGAGTCTCAGCTGGGCTGAAACATCCAATAGTAAGAACTGGAATGGATTGAAGGCCAGCAAGGAAAGGCCACTGTTTCTACCAGGACAGGAGGTGGACTAAGTAGGGCTGGCCCATGGACCCACCAATATGCACAAGATCTAACATAAGAAGAGGTTTGGATGGAGGAGCTTGGGAAACTCCCTTGTCGGGACACAGTCCCTGCAGGTGAGTGCAAGAACCATGATAGGGAGTAACCCACACCACACAAGAGAAAGATGCCCACCGGCATACACCTGACATAGGTCAGGGGCAGGCCAGGCTATACCAGTTCACATCACCCAATGGAGAACCCAAGCACCAGAACAGAGTGTGGGTTGGGCCAGGTTCAGTCACATCACAAACCAATGCACATTACGGAATGCCAAGGTGAAGTGAGCTGTACCAGATGTGGCCGCAGCATACAAACAGCACACAGGAGAACCAGGGAGGGAGGGGGCAAAGCCGGCAGGGGGAACATGGGCTCCCCTGCTAGACAACCACTCCCATTGGAGAGCGTGAGTAGGGATGGGGGCAGACCAGACCAGGCAGGGCTACAATACCTGTGGGCTTCATGAGTCAGATCAGGGAAAAGTCAGAGTGGATGAGAGTTGGTTGGGCTTTGCCACAGCATCAGCTGGCAGAGGCTGGCACTGGGAGCTAATTCTGCCAAGTTAAATGCCAGAACCACCTGGAGAGTGCATAATTAGGGAGTGGGAATGGCCTAGTAGGGAAATAGTGGGCACATCCCTCTTGGGTAACCACTCCCACTGGAAAGCACAAAAACTAGGACATGGGCAGGGGTGGCTAGACAGAAAGGAACCCATCAGTATGTGTGTGGGCTGGATAGTAGGGTTGGTTGGGCTGAACTAGACTTCAATGCCCACTGACATTTATGAGAGTTGAATGGGATGTGGGACAGAATGGACCAGTCTGGAACCAGCACAGGAACCAGCACAGGGGATAGGACTGGTGGGGGTGATGGGGAGTCACCCCAACTAGGCTGCAGCTCCCACTGGTTTGCGTGAAGGCCGAGTGTGTGTGGTGGGCAGGCTCAGGATGGGCTGCAACACCCATTGGTTTGTGTAGAAGACAGGGCTGGAGACACAACTGACCCAGTAATTGCAACCACCAGCATGTGCATAAGCTCATTAGGGTGATGGACTGTGCCGGACCCCCAAGTGGCAAGCACATACAAGAATCAGGTCTGAGAACACCTTGGACGAAGTTTTTGATCTCAGAACCCCAACCATGAAGAGACTATGTCAGCCAGTGGATTCTGAATAGATTTCATCATGTTTGGAATGGCAAGATTGGGAACAATTCAGAACTGTTGAACTATCAAAACTGCTTGAGCAGGACTCTCAGAGCATGCCCCACATTACGGACCTGGGATGGGAGGGAGGCTGGGTGAGGATTCTCCCTTTGTTTCTCCCGATCCCAGATACAGGGGGGGAAAAATTGGAAACAATGGTCTTACTCATTTCTCCTGTAGCCCTTGACCCTTTGTACTCTTACATCAACTATGTAAGATTATATATAAAAATCTTTTTCTCTCCCATCCCCCCAAAAAAATGAGCAGAAAAAAAAAAAAAGAAGCACAAAAGTCTTAGGCCCACATGGTAGCCTAGTGACTTAAGTCCTTGCCTTGCATGCACCAAGATCCCATATAGGTACAGGGTCGTGTCCTAGCAGACTCACTTTCCACCCAGCTCCCTGAT